CTGGGTGCGGGCGGCAAACAATAAAACGCAAACTAGAAAACGGACAACGGAAAACGGAAACCGGAAAACGGAAAACGGAACCCGGAAACCGGAAAGCGAAAAACGGAAACTGGAAAACAGAAAACGGAAAACGGAACTTCGCTTTTTTGCCCAAACCGGGAACCGGAAAACGGAAAGCAGAAAACGGAAACTGGAAAGCGGAAACCGGAAACCAAAAAACGGAAACCGGAAAACAGAAAACGGAAAACGGAATTTGGTTTTCTGCCAAAACCGGAAAACGGAAACCAAAAAGCGGAAAACGGAAACCGGAAAACGGAAAACCGGAAACCGGAAAACGGAAAACAGAAACCGGAAAACGGAACTTCGTTTTCTGCCCAAACCGGAAAACGGAAAACGGAAACCGGAAACCGGAAAACGGAAAACAGAAACCGGAAACCGGAAAACGGAAAACCGGAAACCGGAAACCGGAAAAAGGAAAACGGAAAACGGAAAACGGAAACCCGAAAAAGGAAAACGGAAAACGCAACTTCGCTTTCTGCCCAGACCGGAAACCGTAAAACGGAAACCATGGAACGGAAACCGGAAAACGGAAACCGGAAAACGGAAAACGGAAAACAGATTTTCGTTTTCTGCTCCAGGATTCTGTTTTCCGTTTCCGTTCCGGTCCGGCGCGCCTGCTGACCGGAATCATCTGCGGTGGTGTTCTGCCGAAACGCCTCAAACGAGCTCCAAGAAAGACCCCAGGAAAGGGGAAAAATCAGCGATGTCCCCCCATTCTGTTTTGATGATTTGTTTGGTCTCCCCGTTTCGTGACTGCGGCCCTCCAAGACGGCCGAGGAGGTCTCAAGACAGCCCAGGACACTCCCAGGAGGGCCACAAGGTGACTCACGAGGGCCTCAATACAGCACATGAGGCCCCCCAAGAGGGCTCACGAGGCCCCGCAGAGGACCTAACAAAGATCAATCCGAACTATCATTCGGAGCCCGTTCCCCCGAAGCTGCCGCTCGCCACCGCCAGCAAGCTCCCATGGAGCTCCCAAGGGGCCCCCAGAGGCTCCCAAGACATGCCCTAGAGGCACCGAGACCCCCAAGAGGCTCCAAAATGCCGCCACGAGGCCCGCACTGCAGACGAACACTCGGCCACTCGACAATGGTGAGACAATATGGGCTGGCGGAGTGAGCGAAGCGATCGAATAGAAGCCGGGGACAGGCGGTGCCATGCACGCGGGGTGCCATGCAAACAGGCCAGGCCCCGAGACGCAAGGCGTGCGTGCATGGCACATGGCACGCAGACCAGGCCCCGAAAAGCAAGGGATCCCTCGAGTGACAAGGTAGGCAGACTGAAGGCAAACAGAGCATGCAAGGCAGGTCGGTCTGAAAGGCAGGTGGGCTAGCAAGGCAACAGGCTCAATGGCTTCAGATGTGACGTTCTGGGTTTGGGCTTACGGCTTGGACTGGATCTACATTGAAGAATGTGGCTTCCAGACCCACGGATTATGGCTCTAAGCTCAGGTTTCTGGTTGGGAAGATGGGTGTACGTATGGATATGGATACGGATGCAGGGCGCTATATGCATGCGCATGCACAGACGCATACACATACACGCATCATACGCAGATGCCCATGCACATACATACACGTGCGAATGCATATCTGCGTATGGGTACAAATTCAGATCCAGATGTGGTTACGAGTGCGCATACATTTACATCCACACATCAAAACGCATATGCATAGACTACGCATATTCGCATGCATGTGTGTGTGAATGCATCGGCCATTGTGCACAAACGCATGTGCGTACACATGCGAATGTGGAAGTACATGCAGACACGGATTCTGCGACAAGTCGCAGTGGCACACAACATGTATGAAAGGCACATGCGCGCGCCGTCGCGTGAGCATGTCAGAATCGTGCAAAGACATGGTCTTCTAGCAATGTTTACACATAGCTGGAAGCACGTGCAACTGCAAGTTGGCAAGTGTCTGAGCGTAAACCCTAGAGGCCTCCTACATGGGGTCCCAGTAGATGGGGTCGAAGGATCGCGCCGCATCGGCGATACATCGGCGATACATCGCCGATGCATTGGCGATGCATCGGCAACGTCGGCGATGCATCGGCGCCGCCGACGTGAAGCAAGGCAGGCTCCACATCGAGCCGCGTCGCCGGTGCATCGGCGATGCAGCGCGATCCTCCGACCCCATCTACTCGGACCCCACCTGGGAGGCCTAGACGTTTGGCCATTCTTGCACATGGCATCGTCCGGGCCACACGCGCGCGCAGGCTTCAAGGGGCCCTGGGACACACAGATAAATACACACTTATTAAAAGATTCCTCATATTTTCCTATATTTTCTTGGTTTCTGTCTTCCCCCCCAATTCCCATATTTTCCCATATTTTTGGGGGAACCGACGATTAATTGTGTCTGGGTGTTTTTTTCCCTCCTGAAGGTTGAACACGTTCAGCGACCGTCGTGCGCCAGCCCAAACGATGTCATGGCATACCGGGCGGACCAAACGCGCGCGCCTCCGCGCGCGCACGTCGAACAAACCTTCCAATACCATCGGTTTTCTGTCCGCTCCAACGCATCTGTGTTCAACCACTCACGGGAAGCCCGTGTGGCCGACCTCGTAACCCTGAGCCCAAAACGTGTTCATCTCTGGGGGCGCATCAACAGCTTCCGCCACCTTCCGCCACCCTTCGGCCGGCTCGAGCCGGCGGAGGCGGCCTCGCTTGACCTCAGCCGTCCTTCCGCCGCCCTTCCGCCGTCTTCCGCCGCGGAAGAGATTACAACTCCTTCTATCCTCAAAGGCGAGGCCCTTGTAGAGCGCCCCATGTGCTTCCAGTGGAAATATTCAAGACGCTCGTAATATCTGCGATGTCGCACTTCCTCATCGTCCTCACCTGCAGACTCGTTAGCATCAGCGCTGGCGTCATCGTTGCCATCGCCATCAGAATCACCATCCTCGTCGACATCGTCATACTCACCACTGCCGTCATCCTCGTCAACGTCAAAGTCGTCGCCCTTGTCAAATTTCTGCGCGCGTGCTTCCTCACCATCCTCACCAGCACCCTCATCATCATCATCATCATCATCATCATCATCATCATCGTCCTCATCATCAGCATCATCATCATCATCCTCATCATCATCATCATCCTCCTCATTATCATCGCCAGCATCATCATTGCCACCGTCCTTATCACCACCATGCACTTCTTCACCACCACCATCGTCTCCATCGACATCGTCAACTCCGTCGCCATCAACATCAATCTCGTCATTGTCATCGTCTGTTCCGCCGCCCTGTTGAGTGTGACCAGCAAGTTCCGACTAGGTAGATGGGATGCCTGCGCAAGCAGTTTGGGCGGTCACTTACGGATGCGGTCAAAATTGAGCACACCCCATGGGTTCTCCTAAAGAAAATCGATTCGACCAGCCTCCCGAAGCGGCACTTATCGATCCCCCCCGGGATTATACAACTTAGAACTGACTCTGCCCCATCGCTTGTTTTCTGAATGAAATCAGGCCATCCCAGCCAGGCCGGTATCGAACTCCCCCGTCATCAATGCGACACACTACCATACGCGCACACCCGCTTATCTCAACAATTATTGTTTAAGATCCCGTTTTTAAAAAGCAATACCCACACGTGCGCGCCCATATCGACATCATACCGAATGCAGTAGTGATGCGACCATTTGAACATGGAAACGTCAACACACACGGAGGTCTCGCATCAGAAATCTTGCAGGTGGCATCCCCACACGCACTTGCTCGAATCATGGAACACACCAAATGTCTGTAGAAACATCGTCCAAAACCCGAATTCTCATCCCACCACGCGTTGATCCAGCATCCGCCCAACGGACGAATCCGTATCAAACAATCCCATAAGAGCCACATGCGTGAACCTTCACGCGCGCGTCGGAATCCTTCCAACACCATTGGTGCTCGAAACATGTCGAAGTACAATTTCCCAATCACATCTGGCAAACGAAATGCCGTTCAACAACTAATGAGCAACATATCTTTAAACAAAATATGAATCAAATGCCTTTCCGCAATCCGCGCCATCGCATCACCACCGTTATCGTCAACGCTAGTCGCCGCCATTGCCGCCATCATCACAACCACCTTCATCACCAACACAAAAGCATCATCGTCGTCATCGTCGTCACCCGGCACCGTCATTGTCCTTGCCGTCGTCATTGTCACCATCGCCACCACCATCGCTATTATCATTATTGTTGACGCTCTTGTCGGCACCCTCATGATACCGCGCCCGCCCAGGTCTCCATCACGTACTGAAGTACCCGCGCGCCAGCGTGCCCTCTGAGACGCACTGGGATGTTCCCATCTGTTGGCGCTGTCGCGGTCGCACCAGTTGCGCCAAACCAGATGGTCGCTTTGCGCGCCAGCGTGCGCGCGCAGACGCGGCCGTAAAGACTCGCCAGCAAGCTTCAATCGGGAACCGCAACCGCGGCCGAATAGTTGTTGCCAAACAAATGGCAGGTGGAAGGGTGAGATGTCTGCGCGAGCATTGCAGTTGACAGCCCGTTATTGGCAGACGTAAGAGCACTGCGCAACCTGCACCACGTAAATCGCACCGTAGATGTTGCATGTTGCACCGTGTGAACACATCTGTGTACACTGTGAGGCATATGTTGCACTATGCGAAGATTCGGCCACAAAGGTTGCACATTGAGAGCGCAATAACCCACTCTTTTGTGGGCCCTTTTTATCCTGAGTTTCGACATTTGGCTGAAAGGTGGGGGAAGGGGGAGGGTCTGGGTCTGGGCCGGTGCTTAGTTGATCTGCCTTGCAAGCGGACCAGGAGCAAGGGGCCCTGACCAGTCGCTAGAGGCAGCCAAGACCTGGTCTATGAAGGGGAGGGGGGGGAGGCCAGGGACCCGCGCCGAACGGCGAAACAATGAAGGAGAGACCGGCGACTTGGTGCAAGCATCATGTTTCGGATCCAATTCATCTTCGCTGCACCTTGATCGTGATGTCCCTCACGGTCGCCCCGGGCGGCCGCTGGGCGGCGATTCTCGACCCGCCGCTCTCGAAGGGCAGCATGTGCGTGAGCTGCTTGAGGACCTCGTTCTGCTCGGAGGCCGCCTTGTTCACGCTCTTGAACAGGTCCTCCTTCCGTGTCCACAGAGAACCAATCTTATCCTTCTGGAAATAAAAAAAAAGGACGGGGAGGACGTGGAGTGGAGGAGGACAACGGGACAAGGAGAGCGGTTAGGAACGGGTCCTTGGAATTGCCCAGAACACTTGTCCCCTCCCAGAGGAATCTGTGAGAGACTACGGTGATATCTACAACTGTGCTGGTGTCGTACAGCGACCCCATGACGCCAAGGAGCAGGTTCCGAATCTCCAGGGCCGACTTGCAAGCCATCAGCGCCTCTCTTTTGGAGCGGATAATGCCAAATGCCAAATCAATAATGTAGGTACGGCTGGTTGGCTGCATGCTGGGGTCAGTTGACGACGCGAGAAGGATGTCCCAGAAGCGGAAGACACTGGCAGTTGGCATGTACGTGGCGTACAGCCGCATAAAGGCGCCGTAGAAGACAGTGGAATACTGAAAGCCTTAAGGGAGGCCGCCACAAGACATAGTAATGTGGTCCTCTCCCCTGCAAAAGAAGAAACATACGAAGAGGAAGGAGGGGATGGAAAACAGACAAGGAGCGGGCTTCATCTGTGTTAGATATACAGATGTATGCACATGTATGTAAGCATATACGAACAAGACAGGGTGGCCTAGTGCAGCCATGTGCTGCCACAGGTCGTTCATGTGGTACGCCACGCAGCACTCAAGCACCGACAGGTCCTGCAGCGCCCCGCTGCCAGACACGAGGACTGGCTGATGCTCGTGCGGAGACTCGTCAAGGGGATCGTGCCTGTCAGACCTGTCGGGCGACGAGGGGGGCACGCCCACTCCGTAGTACTCGCGGTACGCCTTCTGGACCAGCGTGTAGATGATCCAGAAGGCGGAGCTCTCCGAGAAGTGCACGACGTCCTCCGGGGCCTTCTCCTCTCGGCTGCCCTGGGGGAGGAGGAGGAAGTACGCGACGATGAGGAGGCTCTCGCAGTACACGACTCCACTGTCCTGCAGAGCTAGGGGAGAAGTGTGCGGGAACTGGCGGAACAGAGTGTAAGTTGACAACTCGCTGTGACATGTGGGTCTGTGCATGAAGATCGCGACGCATATGTGCATCGGTGGTGCACATCTTATAGACACAACTGACGACCCATGCATCTAGAGACGAGATCCAGGGTGGCAGACACGCATCGATACAAGCGGACCATCTGCGTGGAACAAAACATGTAGCAAGTGGCATTGTTTTACATCGTTCTGGGAACTTGTATGTGTTAACTAACGAATGAAATTGCACATATACCTATATCTGTATACATGTATGCACCTGCACGTGTGTGTGTATGTACACGCGTGTCGAACTACCGAGGTTCATGAACAGCCACGCGAACGGCGGAACTGTTCAGCAAACTCAGGGGGTAACGACATACCGAGATAATCAGGATCAAACTACCAAGAGGTTTATACATTCAGATATCTACATACATATGTGTATGTACGCATCTCGTCATATATGTCCATGTGAATGTGTATACACACCCCGTCATACGCACTCACCCATGATTCTCCCAGTGCCCCCATAGCCACGACTAGCGATACATCCGTCTGCGGGACAACCACCGGACAACTGCAGGCAACTGCCAGGGGCAACCACCAGCTGAGCACGAGGCATGCGCGAGACCACCCCCGCAGGCAAAATCCCCGACCAGTGAGGGGATCAGTTTTGTCGATTTTGTCCCAACTACAATCAACTCGCATGAAAAGGTGGCGCGGTAAGGATGCAAAGGCCTTGGAGGACCATGTTTGCGCTTCCGAACGGGGCTGGCCAGAGAAAGTCGCCAGTGATGGGCCGAACGGGAGAGGATGCAAGGGTAGCCTCGGAAAGTTGCTCATCCTTACTACGCAACGTGGCTCTACACCTCTCGTATGCTCGCCCGCTCGCACGGCACGGCACGAAGCGACATCAAAACCGATGTTCTGGTTTGCTACACATACCCCTGTATCCCATGGTGCCTTCCGCGAATTCCCCGGAAGAACCAGGAAACCAGGGAGTGCAAGTTGGACGCGGCACCCAGGGCGTCTCCTGGGGCCTCTGGGAAAAACCGACAGCCGGGACGGAAAAGTGTCAATTATCATTTCTTCCAGGGAAGCGGGCCGTGCACTAGGGTAGGGAAGGCAAAGGGGGGGAAGGATGGATGAGGGGGCAGGGGGAAAGGAGCCAGGTGCGAGCGAGGAGGGAGGCGAGCGAGCGAGGAAGGGGGCCTGGAGCGAGGATGCAGAGAGGGAGGGGGGGGAATAGAGAGAGAGGAGGGCAAATTATGTGCGCCCGTGCCACGTCCTGCATCCGACCTCTCCCTCCCAACCCTTCCCACCGCGCTGCTTCCTCTGTGTCCGCCGACGGGTGTTTTAGGTGACCTGGAACACCCGAAAGGACCCCTTATCGTGTTACGCGCAGTCTGAAGAGGCGAGCTTTGTACAGTGGAAGGAGGAGGTGGCGGATGATCGGGAGGCCGAGCAGGAGGAAGAGGCCGAGTACGAAGCAGGAGGAGGGCGAGGAGCTGCAGCAGCAGGAGCAGCAGGAGAGGGAGGAGCGGGAGGACCAGGGAGAGGCGGGCGGGGCAGGGAAAGGGAAGGCGACGACAACGACGAGGCACTACTCGGATCCAACAATCTGTGGCCCGCGATCCGGCGCGCGCGCGCCACTCCGAACGACGGGAAGAAAGCGCTGATCCTAAGAGGAGGCCAACGCTTTTCAGCGGGAGCGCCAGTGTGGAAGCACCGGCAACGCTCGGAGTGGACTCCTCCTCCTCCTCCTCCTCCTCCTCCTCCTCCTCCTCCTCTTCCTCCTCCTCCTCCTGCCTCCTCCCTCCTCCCGATCGCATACGAGACAGACAACTCGGCACCGTCCGGAGCAAAAAACGGATACCGGGAGGGGGGCAAGTCTCGTGCCATCGTCGTGGGAGACACAAAGAGCAGTATTCACATCAAGCCAGCTTCGCTCGCGCAAGATCTGACTCTGCAAACCCTCCAGCCCATGCCTTCTTATTGCGCTTGTGCTATCTGTACCCGCCGACAGTCACAGCGGACTTGGAGCACACACACACACACAAAAGGACCCCGCTGCGTCATGCGCGGTCACAAAAGGGAGCTGCGTACCTTGGAGGAGGAGGTGGTGGATGAGCAGGATTCTGAGCAGGAGGAGGAGGAGGAGAAGGATGAGGATGAGGATGAGGATGAGGAGGAGAGGAGGAGGAGGAGGAGGAGGAGGAGGAAGAGGATGAGGATGAGGAGGAGGAGGAGGAGGAGGAGGAGGAGGAAGAAGAGGATGAGGAATGAGGATGAGGAGGAGGAGGAGGAGGAGGAGGAGGAGGAGGAAGAGGAAGAACAGCAGCAGCACCAGGAGAGGGAGAAGCGGGAGGAGCCCCAGATGGCCAGGGGAAGGCGTGGAAAGGGGGGAAGGGAGCGGGGCGACAGCGACGAAAAAATCCCTCGGATCCAGAAAAACGGCCCGCGCTGGGGCGAGAGCGCCATTCTCGGGTCGGGCGAAAGGGGGGGATAGCAAAGGGGGGGTTTGAGAATCAGCTCACGTGGCTGAGTTTCCCGGCGCCTCCCGGCGCCGGGAGGCGCCCATGCATCGAGGAATGGGCCCCTCGGTGAGGCCGAAACCAGCTGCATGCAGCAGATTTCGTACCCCCCCCTTTCCCAAACCCCCCCTTTCGCCCGACCCGACATTCTGAACGATGGGAGCAAAGAGCCGATCCTACGAGAAGGGCAACTCTGCTGCAGGAGCACCGTCCTTTTGAGACACTCACAGAAGGCCGATCCAAACAGATCAGAGGAAAGATCAATGTGTGAAGTCCGCTGTAAAGAACAATACGCGGAGGAGGCCGGGTCACTCCCCAGCGAGCTTCGGGCGAGATAGAGAGGCGTGATACTTATACAGGGGAGTTGTTGAGTAAATGTACAGAGGAGGGAGGGGGGAGGCGGGACCAGCAAGCAGGGAAGAGGGAGGAGGGAGGAGCGATGTGTGTGGAGCGACGGCGGCGGAGCGAGGAGAGAGCGATGAGAGGAGGGGGTGAGCGAGGAGGCAAGCTGGTTGGTCGGACCCTTGCGGGTCAAGAGTGAGCCCGCGGGCACGGCCTTTTTCATACACCTGCCAGGTCGAGGGCGACACCGAGAAACCTGCGCCTGACCCAACCCAGGCCATCGCCGGGCGACCAGAGAGGAGAGGAGGAGCGCCCAGGGGCCCCCACGACGGAACACCCCCGAGGGGGGGGAGGGGGGGGGGGGACAGAGGAGAAGGGAGGGCATCCTTCTGAAGGGAGGGCATCCTTCTTGTGCGGAGCACGCCTGCCCAGGCATCTGGCGGCCCGATGCTGTCGGCTACGCGCACAGAGTGATCCTAGGCAAGAGTGACCTATGGTGCGCGGCTCTGGGGGAGCCGCGGGGGGGACCAAATCCAAGCGCGCGCAAGACGCAACCGTCGCATCGCATGCGGCGATCGGGGGGCCCCGCACCAAGGGTCACTCAGGCGGTATGTCACTCCTGCGAGCCGATGTTGCCTCAAGACATGAGCCCCTGGACCTCCCGACCCGAGGAGGAGGAGGAGGAGGAGGAGGAGGAGGAGGAGGAGTCCCCAGGGCTGGCTGCTCATCTCCCCCGCGACGTCTGTGTACGGCCCCGTGGCCTGAGACCGGGCCCTCCACAGGCCCAAGCACGGCGAGAGAAGCCAGCCGCCTCGATGCCGTGTTCTGTCCGCCAGGTGTGTGCGTGTGTGGGGGTCCTTTCGCGGGACGCTTCTCCTACAGAAGGCACGTTCTTTGACAACGCTGCCTGCCAGCCAATACCCCACAGAAGTTTCCTATTCCCTGGCGTCCCCCGGGACTTCCTGAAGCCCTCGGGAACCTTGCGAAGCCTAAGATCGACGAAGCACGGGCACCAAGGAATGTTGTTGTTTATTTCCAGTGCGGACCTTTCTTCTGCATCCTGGGGGCAAGTGATTGCGCTATCGCACTTTGGCACTGGTGTTTCAGAAGGCCACCACCTCAATAAACGTGACATGATTGGACAAGCAAGTCCCGAACGGGCACGTGATTTACACAGTGGAAGGGGAGGAGAAGGAGTTCGTTAGCGTTGGATTGGGCGGGGACCTCCTTGTCACGAGGCCTGCAGTAGCATCCCCCCGTCCTCTTCTTGTCCCGAAGCGTCGCCGCCGTCTCATTTTCACCGCTGCTCCGCTGTGCCTGCTCGTCCCTGCTGCTGCCCTTCCCCACATCACGGCGATCGCCGAGTCAGTGGGGAGGCTCCGCGGAGAATCTTCCGCCTGCCCGCCCGCGGGCGCTCGTAGGCCCCCCCCCCCTGGCCTGGGTGGGTACGCCGAGGGTTCGCCCCGCGCCCGCCCATGGGCGCCCCGTGCGCCCTTGGGGGGGGGGGCCCGGGCGGGTCCGCCGAGGTGCCGCCTGGGCGCCCCGCGGGGCCTCGCAGGCGCAGGGCCCACATCGCAGAGCTCACGCAGCAAACGGCCCACACCGCACAGGCTGCAGCGCACAGCGCACAGCGCACAGCTGGCACAGCACGGCTCACGCTTCACACACGCTGCACAGCATCGGCTGCACGACCTGGCATGCACCACGCAGCTAACACCACGTGGCTTGCGCGACACAGCTTGCACCACACAGCTTACACAGCACTGCTTGTACTGCATAGCTCATTCCGCACAGCTTCCACCTCCACAGTGCAATCATTCAGGAGGGGGGTCCTCGCTGGCAAACATTGGACTTGTTGTGCAAGCTCTGTCGTCTTGCGTTCGGGGTGCGAGAAGAGACGCTACAACCCGCTTGCTCAAAAGAGCAACGAAAAGAAACGGGTCTGACGCGAGATGGCGAAGCGACCTTACGCAGTGGCTTACGCGGGCCGCCAGCGCTACACGACACAGTGGGAACGAGGGTGCTTGCGCGCGACCTTACGCGGGCAGCTTGCAAGCCAATGTCGGCTCAATCGATCCCGTTTTTGTTGCGTCGCCCAGGTTGGAGCAACGTCGAAATGAGGAGGAGGAGGAAGAGGAGGAGGAGGAAGAGGAGGAGGAGGAGGAGGAGGAGTTCGGCAAGCGCTCAGCACCTCGGCGCCGGCGCGGCACGCCCATGCCGAGCAGGGCTCCCTCGGTAGGGCAAGCTCGTGTCACTCGGCGGAGAGGCCTGCTGCAATCACTGTTGTTGTGGAGGACGTGAAGACCACCGCAGACGGGAAGACCGGTGCAGCTGCTGTAGCCGCGCCGCCTTCTGCGACAGCGCTCTCTTGCGCTCCAATGCAACAGGCGGATGAGCCGAGTCCAGTGCCGGAAACGCCCGAGGCTATGTTTTCGGCAGCAGTGACAGATGAAGGAGCTTTCATGCAGCAGCCTCCCGCGGTCTCAGGCCACACGCCTGCTAGCAACGTGGTGGATATGCCGGCCCTAATTCGACAGCTCCAGTTACTTGGACAACAGTTGCCGCCCCTGCTGCCTCAAAGCTGGGAGATGGCACACGGCCCTGCGAGCGGCAGGACGTACTTCTTCAATGGTGTGACACGTGAGACTAGATGGCAGCCGCTTCACATGTAGCGTGCACCAAGTCTCAGTGTAGCATTTAGCATTTTGAAGTGTGTACTCTGTCGGCCAGATACAGTTTGAGAGGAAGCCATTCGACACATACTTGAAGCTTCTGCACACACATTGGTCAGGTAGCTGTGTAGACTGGACGGTTTCGGCAGCTGGTCGCGGCTCGTAAATCCTGTGTTTGGCCCTCGTTCGGCCCTGGTGGGCCTGGCGCTATGTCTTGGACACCCTGAGCCCAAGCTTCCCACCTGCGGGCCTTCCTCCTCTTCTTCTCTCTTCCTCTCTTGCGTCCCCCCCTCTTGGGGGGGTGCGTGGGCTTAGGGTTTGTCCTCTCTGCGTGGCTCGTGGTCTGGGGAGTCCTCGTCGCCGCTGTCTCCATCCCGCTGAGTCTCTGCTCAATCCCAAAGTAACGGGCGTCGAACCTCTGCCCTAAACCGGAGAAGAAGAAGAGGAAGAAGGAAGAAGAGGAGGTGCCCGAAGTTTTCTTGCAGCATGGTCTCCTACCATGTGCCCTGATGGAGGGGGTGACCGCGGGAGCCCCGTTCTCAGTCCGTCGGGGGCTGGGCTCTTTCACCCGCAGTTGTGGGGCCACGCTCCTGGAGCCGGACAGCAAGGCGTCAGCGAGCAGAGCTGGGTGATACGCAGGAGTTCTTGTCACTGGCAAGCGAGTGCAAGCATCGTGAAACGGCCATCTAAGCTCCCCCAGTACAGCCAAGAATATGATCAAGAAACATATCATTCAAGGAACCTGAGCCAGAGTCCCAGAAAGTTGAAACAAACCTGTGTCAAGCTCTGTGAATGACGCTGGAGGGGCGAACGTGCTCAAGAACCTGGGCCAGCTGCCCTGCAAGTTGGTCACGAAGAGCTGGTTTGGATTTTCGGGAGAAGGTTGCTTTATCAGATGCCCGACTGTTCAACAATTACTCCGCGACGTACCCAACCCCTTCTACACATGTGGTGATTACACTCAGGACCACTCAATGCTGACGGGCATGAGGGGAGCACAGAAAACAGGAGGGGAGGAGGGGAGGAGGGGGGAGGAGGAGAAGGACGGGCGACCACACTGCTCTATTCAAAACGAGTAAACCATAGGAGGGTTGGAGAAAAAACAAGCCACCTCTTACCGTGTGGATCTTATGCGCGCGGGCACGAGCTCTCGCCGCTGGCTCTGCTCGCCAGGGCGCGAGCGGGGCGCGCACGTGGGCCCGAGGCCCATCCGGCGGGCCCCGGGCCTGCCCGGGCCCCCCTGCGCCCTCCCCGGAAGCGACGACCGCGGCAGCCGGCGGTGCACACGCGGGGGGTGAATTCGGGGAACAAAACAGTGGCATAAACACAAAAACTCGGAGGGCCGCGCGGAGTTCTCGGATCGGCGCTGGACCCCCCTCCCTGGCGCGCGGAGCGCGCCAGGGGCGGCGCCGGAGGCGCCGCCGGGGGGCACCAGCGCCGTTCGGGAGCTCCCGAGCGAAGTGAACCCCACCCTCCCCCTCAGAAATCGTGGGGGGTAGGGGTAGGGTTCGCATGTGGCCCCCTACACGCGGGGGGGGAATACGGTCGGACCCAGGGCAGAAGGACCTCCTCCCGCACTTCGCTGCCCCGACGCGCCACGCGCAGCCCGTGACGTGTCGGCACGGAGATATCAGCACGCGGATTGGGCACGCAGGTCTGGCGCGATGCGTTCGCGAGACCGTGGGCCCACACGGTGAGTCAGCGCGCAACGTGTCAGCACGGGCGTTCTGGACACGGTGCGCGCTGCGCTGCAAGACGGGCGTGTCAGGGCAGCCCAGTCCTTCAGGAGCATGGGACCCCACACTGGCCCAAGGTGAAGAATATTCGAGGGTGCCCTCCCCCAGGATGCACAGGAGCATCCAACAGACACGAAACACATCAGGGTACCCTCCCCGAACCGACCTCCATCTTGAAACCTCGACCCAGCCGCAGGGGGAGGGGGCAAGGCTTCTTAGAAGGAGGGTGATTCTTAGAAGGCGCCGGCCCTACCTCTCTAGACAAGGCCCGCGCCTTCTGAGAAGCAGGGGTGCTGATAAGACGCCTTCCCCCCTCCCCCTACCCTCTGTGCGAGCCGCCAAAACATTACACCTTGATTTGGTGCGCGTTTTTCGCGATTCGCGATAACGGCCGTTACTGGGGATGCTCCCCCCCCCCACTCCCCTACCCCCCACCTGGTAACGTCATGGTTCGCGCCGGAGCCGCTTGGGAAATGCTAGGGGCAGCCACCTCCCATGCGGTGCCGGCGCGAATCGTGCTGTTACCAGCCCCCTCGCCCTCCCCCCTCCCCCCCCCCGGGACGGTCGATATCGACAGGGGAAAAATCGAATAGATGCAAACAACAAAAAATTCTGCGGATGCTCATACCCGCCAGTCGTATGAAGTAGGTGGAAACATGAAGCAGGAAGGCTGATCAAGTAGATTGGGTTCGGGCCCGCACAGAGAAGAACAAAGCACAGCCAAAACCTACCGATTCTTGGAGTAGGAAGGCGCTTGAAGTAGACTGGGATCTGGGAATCCAGAAAGACAGTCCTCGTAATACCATGCGGAACGCTTGGTGAGGAACGGAGGGGCTTTGCTGGCCACAGTGGGCCTCGGCCACGAAGAGCTTCCCCGACCTAGATCTAGGGAAAGGCCCGAAAACCGTACAGTTAACCAGTATAGTAAGGATGCGCGATAAGGGTGCAATGGTCTTGGACACCCATTTCGAAGCTTTTCGAGCGGGGCGCGGCCAGCGAAAGCGGCGAAGGATGGACCGAGGAGGCAGGGATGCCAGGGTACCCTTGGGAAGGCTGCCAATCCTTACTATGCGGGTTGACTGTACGCCCCTCCCGAATTCGAAGTGGTCCTTCTGCCAGCGCCCTGACTGTGCCTGCTTTCGACGACCGGCGTCTGCTGCCGTGCCCCCCGGGCGTCCTCGAGGGCCAGCAGCGCCGTGCAGACGTTCTGCGCCCTCTTGAGCCGACGCATGAGCGTGTCCTGGCGCCGCCGGGGCTCGAGGGTCGAGGGAGGAGGGCCTCCCGCCCCCGGTCCTCGACCTGAGACGAAGCCAGGACGAGGATCAAAGTCGGGTGAGGATACACATCGAGAGTCTCTCCGAGCCGGCGGCCCTGGAGATCGCGCCCTCCCCCGATCCTCGGCCTGAGACGCGGCCAGAGGCCAGGGCGAGGATAACGTCGGGTGAGGATATGCATCGAGAATGTCTGAGATCGGGCGGCTCTGGAGGCTGTCTCGGGCGCCGCGGCCTTCTCAGAGTCGGGGGTTGCCAAAAGTGCTCCTGGCCCCACGTGCCCCCAGCTTTTCGCCCAATTTCGGAGCCCCCTGGTCCCTGCTGGGTCTCGTGATGGGTGCTCTGGAGGCCGCGGGGGCTGGAAATCCTGGGGGCGCCTTGGGCCAGGGGCACTTCTGGCAACCCCCGGAGCGTCTGGGAACGCCCTGAGGAGGTTCCGGAACGCCCTGGACGCCCTGGAGAAGAGTTCTCCTCGTCCCCGCCCCGCCCGAGGGAGGGCGGCCTCCTTCGACCTTCGACCCCCAGGGAGGAGGGCCTCCTCCCTCGACGCGTCGACTCCCAGGGAGGAGGGCCTTCATCCCTCGACGCCTCGGCACCAGGGCGGAGGGCCTCCTCCTCCTCCGCCTCCTCCTCCGCCTCCTCCTCCTCCTCCTCCTCCTCCTCCTCCTCCTCCAACTCCTCCTCTTCAGCCTCCTCCTCCTCCGCCTCCTCCTCCTCCTCCAACTCCTCCTCTTCAGCCTCCTCCTCCTCCTCCTCCTCCTCCTTCCCCTCCTCCAGGCTAGCTACCTCGGCACGGAG